ATGAGAGAACTTGTTTCTTGTCTGTTTCTGAGCTTTTAAGGGTAGTTGGCAGCCTTTGGAATTTCTAGATTTTTGCTGCATGGCCATGATTCTATCTTCCTCTTCACAAAGTGTTCTCTTTTTGTGATTAAAATTTCCCCTTTTTAATGTTTACTAAATTTATTAGGGTGACATTGGCTAATAAGATTATGTAGATTTCAAATGTACATTAATATAATACGATTTATATATTGCATTGTGTGCTCACCAAATTCAAAAATTCTTCTGTCACCATATATTTGGACTCCTTTACATTTTACTACCCACAAACCCCTTCTCTCTGGTAACCACAATACTTTGAATTTCAGTTTTATATGACTGAAGTCAAATGGTTCTTAGCTTTTTCTAACTAACCTGTTTTACTTAGCATGATATTCTCAAGGTGTTTCCATGTTGTCACAAATGGAAGTATTTCATCTTTGCTTATAGCTGATTCATATTCCATGGTCTATACCAGTGGTTCTCAACTTTCCTAATGCCTCAACACTTTAATACAGTTTCTCATGTTGTGATGACCCCAAACATAAAATTATTTCCATTGCTACTTCATAACTGTAACTTTGCTATTGGTATGAGCCATAATGTAAATATCTGTGTTTTCTGCTATTCTTAGGTGACCCCTGTGAAAGGGTAATTCAACCCCTAATGGGGTTGCGACAATTGGATAAAAGAGATGTGGACATTATTAATTCTAGAAAATTAACATATTTAGTGATATGAGTGGATCTCAAATACAACATGCTAAGTGAAACAAGCCAGATAGAAAAGATGTGGACATCTCTTTTATCCAATTTTTTTAAGGGTAATTCAACCCCTAATGGGGTCTCCACAATTGGATTAAATAGATAATTGGACAAAGGAGATGTGGTACATATAGATAAGCGGTTCTGATACAGGTTGAGAACTGCTGGTCTATATGTACCACATCTCCTTTGTCCATTTGTCTATTGAAGGACACTTCAGTTTTTAACTTGGCAACCAGGAATAGTGCTGCAATTAATATAGGGAGGCATATCTTGGTGAATAAATGTTTTCAACTTTTGGGGGTGATACCCAGAAGAGGAGTTGCTAAGTCATATAATGGTAACTCCAGTCTAAATTTTTTTAGGAACCTTATCAATTTCCACATAAACATCTATCGTTAGAATTAAGAAAATATACATTCCAATTGATTTCTACTGTTTTCCATAGTGGCTGTACCAGTTTTTTATTCCCACCAGCAGTGAATGAAGTTTCCTTTTTCTCCACACTCTAGCCAACACTTGGTATTACTTATCATGTTGATAATAACTATTCTAACAGGGGTGAGATGATGTCTCATTGTAGTTTTGATATGCATTTCCCTAATCAAGTTGTTAGTAATCTATATAGACCTCTCCAAGGGGGTGAAATGTAGTCTCTTCCACCTGAGTGTGCATTGAAATTTGGTGAGTTGCTTCTAAAGTATATAGTGTATGGGGAAGAGGGCAGGTAACATTACATGGCAGAATCTGGCAAAAGTTTAAGTGACCATCTTGTTTAATTGATCAAGATAAAGCCATCAGTGACAAGTCATGTTGGTAACATGTATCCCCTAATAGGACATGATGAGAAGTTCACTTCTTATTCTTTCTCAAAACCTATATCTTTATATAACTATGTGAGAAAAAATCAGACAAACAGATATTGAAAGGCATTCTACAAAACATGTATTAAGGTAATGAAAAATAAGGAAATACTGAGAAACTGTCAAGATCAGGGAATATTAACGGGATACAACAAATATGTGCAATGTTGCATACTGGATTATATATATTCTGTTAAAGCAAAATGACCTTAGTAAAAAATAATGATCTGAATAATCTTGACATTTTAGATAATAGTAATAATCAATGTTGGTTTTTTAGTTTCCACAAATGTAATATGATAAATAAAATACTAACTAAGGAGTAAATTTGGTGAAAGCTATATAAGATTTGTCTGTTTATAGCCACTGGCATTGAATAATCATTATTTATGGATATATTTTTTTAAATTCAATCAAGTAGGAAACTTATTATAGTCTCATTTTTATGATTTATAAAATAAAACTCATTTCATATGTTATTTTCCACTTAATGAGAAAAACTAATGAAAAATAATTAAGTTGGCTTGGTATGATCCATTTGATAGTATGATTTATTTTTTTAAATATATTTTATTGATTTTTTACAGAGCGGAAGGGAGAGGGATAGAAAGTTAGAAACATGGATGAGATGAGAGACATCAATCAGCTGCTCAATGATGTGCTCGCAAACAAGGTACATGCCCTTGACCGGAATTGAACCTAGGACCCTTTGCTCTATCCACTGAGCCAACGCTCTATCCACTGAACCAAACTGGTTTTGGCAATAGTATGGTTTCTAAAAATTGAATGTACAAGTGATAAATACAAATAGTGAGTGATAATGTAGGAAAATTATATAGCCATATCTCATGAAAAGCTCTAAAATAATATTGATTAATTGATTGTTGAGAGAGAGAGAGAGAGAGAGAGAGAGAGAGAGAGAGAGATATTTGTTGTTCCACTTATTTATAAATTTATTGGTTGCTTCTTTTTTGTGCCCTAACCGGGGATCCAACCTGCAATATTTGGTACATGGAAAAGTGTTCTAACTAAATGTGTCTACCCAGCCAGGGCCCCTAAAATTATTTTCTAAACAATTTAAAAATGGATAACGAACTCGTGTAATTATTAGTGGTTCAAATACATATACTGCTGGGTCCAAATTTTGACTAATACATTCATTAACGTGTTTATTGAGAAATTATGGTTATAATTTATGTGTTGGAAATGATGTTGTTTGTTAAGAAGACCAAGTGACACCTGTGGTGTAGTACATGCTCTCCTTAGGAAAATGAGGAAATAATGATAATAGTTTAATTGAGTACTGATCAGAATTATGAAGACTAAAGCAAGAAATGCAAGGAAGGAACAGTGTCCACGGTAAACAGTGGAGTGACTATAGTGTGGAAACATTTAAGCAAAGAGCTGAAGGAAGTAAGGGAGCTTTCTGAGCATTGATAACAGCAAGGACAAAGATCCTGATGCAGGAGCATGCTTGGAATTGTCCAGAACAAGCAAGGAACTCAGTGTAAATGAGTAGGAGAGGAATAACACAGGAAGAGCTCATCTAACACTGAAACATCCCTGAATGAGTGGCATTAACCTTTTCTTAGTATTTTCAATGGGAAAAATAAATAATATTATTATTATTAATCAGTGCTATTTATTTATACAATATAAGATAAGGTAGTCATATACAGAAAATTTTTAAAATTCAATTATTATTTCTCTATCACCTTTCCTTACACTCTGGCTATTTTGCTTTTGAAAATTATCCTGTGAGCAAACTGCTTCTATGAGTAGACTTACTGAAGACAGAAATACTAATCCCTTTATAATATTATGCATATGTAGTTCTGAATTAAAAAGTGCCAACAAAAAGCATGTATCTTTATTTAAATACCCATATCACTATATTCTTAACTTTAGGTTCCTGAAATAGTTTTGAACTACAGCAATAAAGTTGAACATAAATGTATAATCTGATATATAAATTATTTTGACTTTTTAATTAATATCTAGCCACGCTCCATCTAACCCTTTTTTTAAAATTCCCTCTTCTGCATGTATGTGCAAGTATGGAATTCTTGCATATGTTTTTTTCATGGATTTGTGTGTGCCTTGTTTTCCATATGTCCTTCCATTGTGACATGGTAGAGAAAATATGAACATGTGAATAAACTAAATATAAATAATAAGGTGTATTACAAACAAGGCCCCCAACATTTTTTAAGGTTCCTTTTGGCCATTCTAATTCAGACATTGTGTATTTGGACACAATATTTCCTTTTTTCTAGATGATAGGCTTTTGAAAAACAATGGCATTATCTCAGTAATTTAGGGGCATTGTTGGGCCTAAAAATGTGACTTCTTGCATGTTTAACATCTGACAGGAATGAAAATAGGTTACTATAGATCCTACAACTTTGTCAGGTGAAGTCTAGAGACAATCTTGCCTTCTCAACAACCTTCTTGAATGCATTTTTGACCTCCTTGTTTCTCAAGCTGTAGACCAGAGGGTTCAGCATGGGGATGACCATTGTGTAGAACACAGAGGCAATTTTGTCTGTGTCCATGGAGCGGCTGGAGCTGGGCTGTAAATACATGAATATGGCAGCCCCATAGAAGATGGAGACAGCAGTGAGGTGAGAAGCACAGGTGGACAAAGCCTTCTGATATCCAGAAGATGAGTGAATCTTTAGGATGGTGACAAATATGAACAGATAGGAAATCAAGATTACCAGAATAGCAGAAAACATGTTGAAGCTTGCCACAAAAACAAGAATCTGCTCACTAATATGCTTGTCAGAGCAAGAGAGGGCCATGACTGCTGGAACATCACAGAAAAAGTGATGGACCAGGTTAGACTTACAGAAAGAGAGGCTGAATGTGTCCCTAGTGTGGACAGAGGCATTCAGAAAACTATAGACATAGGAACCTATGGCAAGAAATGTACACACACCTTTTGTAATGGTGGTGGTGTAATGTAGGGGTTTGCACACTGCTGCATAGCGGTCATAAGCCATTGAGGCCAAAAGGAAATTTTCCACAGTGGCAAAGGCTGCAAAAAAGAACATCTGAGCAGCACATGCATTGTAGGAGATGACCTTGTTTCCTACAAGGAACCCAGCCATAACCTTGGGAGTGACAGCTGTAGAGGAACAAAAGTCAACCAAAGACAAATTACTAAGGAAAAAGTACATAGGGGTATGGAGCCGAAAGTCCAAGAGAATCAAAATTATTATCCCCAGGTTTCCAACCACACTGATGAGGTAGATGAAGGTGAACATTATAAAGAGGGGGACCTGCAGTTCTGGGACATTGGTTAGTCCAAGGAGGATGAACTCAGTCACTTCTGTATTGTTCTCCATGGATGTTGTTTGGAAATCACAAGATGTCCTATAGCAATGAGTCATAAAGAAACACATTGATTAACAAAAAATCAATTGAAACACACAGATAGAAAAGTGATAAGTAGATGCACATTTTTATTATGGCAAACATATCTAAAATATGGGTTTACCAACAAAGTTTAATGCATTCATTACCTATAGAGTTACACATTATTGAAGCTGAAGTTTAATGAATGATTTCCCACTTTTTCAAAATTTATAAACTGATTTGTGTAAACAAGTAATGTCTTAATCAAAATGACATATTTGGAATAAATATATGTGCAATGTCATATCCCTGAGTCTAATGAATGCTTATACTTCTATGTAGCTTATGTGCCAGGAAAGGCTCAAGATACCTTTCATCTACAATATATTCACTTATTTGTCTCAGTAAATCTATAAGAGTGACTAATTGTTACCCTATTTAATTTATATAGCACAGAGGTTCAGTAATGTTTTTAAGTTTAAAAATTATTACTGCCAAAGCCAAGTTATATACATAGGTAGAGTGGTCCTTCAGTTAATTGGTATTAATATAAATAAAACTGAATTTAATGCAACTTGCAATTACTCGTTGTCACCATTGTTCCAAATACAGTATTCAGCATTTTAGTTAAGTAGCTGAGACCTATATGCATGGCGGATGGGTAAGTAGACAGACAGGGGCAGGTACAACTAACAGTGACAATTCTGAGGAGAAGACATAGAGCACTGGGTATAGGACTTGGGTTCTAAGATGAGCAAAATATCAGTTCTTGCCGGAAACAAATCAGTTTGACTAAAAGAGAGATGTTGACAGGAAGCCAGGAAGGCTGGTCAACAACCTTAATTGCTCTAACCGCTCACCCTTTAGTTGAGACATTGTTAGCTGAAGCAGCCTCCACCTTGTTTGTCCTGTGTAAGTTTCTGTTATTTGCTGCCTAAGGTCTACATGTAAATTACTGTTTATGTTGCCTAAGATGTTTTTCCCAAAGCCTTAATAAAAGGGGATGGCAAGGCCAGAGCAGTAGTTCTCCCACTAGAGTTGGACAAGTAGTTCTCCCCATATGGCCAAGTTGAATTTCTTCAAGTCTCAAGTCTCTTCATTTGTGTGTGGCCCTTCTCCAGAACTCGAACCCTGAATCAGGTCATGAAAGAGATTCCTATAAGTCCTATCATTTATTACCCAAGAGTTTTTGTGTTCAATCAAAGGACCCAAACCTGATTTCCTCCACATACAAAATGAAGATTGTAATGAAATGAATCCCATGGTACTATAGTGAGAATTAAATAAAATGGTAGATTAAATACAATGAATGAAAGTTTGGGTGTCTAGCATAGCTTGGTAACAGTTAGCTATATTATTATTATCAGGAGGAAGCGAAAGCCATTATGTTTGTTAGAGAAAAGTGGCTGATAAAATTTAGGGATTCAGGTGTGGATGAGTTTTGAAGTCTTGCAACTTCTCTCTCTCTGTTATCCTTTTTGTAACACACTTCGTTCACTGAGATACTAGTATTTCTGGTGTTTCTCTGTCTGTCTCTCCTCAATCAGCATAAGTAGCTATTCTAGCCATCCCATATAAACCACTCTTTTGCTTCTTTCTTAAAATTCATATATTAACATGAGTTTAAAGAGATTCCTTTCTTTTTTTTCTTTCTCTTTCTTTTTAATCCTCACCCAAGGACATGTTTAGAGAGTGGGAGAGAGAAGGAGAGAGATCAATGTAACAGAGAAACCTCAATTGGTTGCCTTCTATACATGCCCCGACAGGTGATCAAACTTGCAACCCAGGTTTCTGTCCTGACTGGGAATCAAACCTGCATCCTCTTGGTGCATAGGACAATGCTCAACCAACTGAGCCACTCTGACCTGGCAAGAGTCTTTTTTCTTTAACTCTTATTTTCTTCCATTGAGATCATCTCACAGTTGAATCATGGAGACCAGGGTTGAAAGTTCCTAAATTGATGGCTGCTTTTAGCCTCCAGGACTGTTTTAGTGTTGGGATTCATGTTTAAGGTTTTTATATAAATATGTTCTTGAGTCAGAATAATGTTTTAAATATTTTAATCTGAAGTTGAGGTCTTTAGAAGGACACATTATTCACTAATCATTATTCTCTACCATTGTCCTAACTCTTTCACATCTTCACTTTACAAAACAAGCCCCTGAAGTCAACTTTTGACAATCATAAGCATTTGTAGAATATAGTATGTTCTGCAAATAGTAAAAGCTATAAGAATATAAAATTATATTTGGGATGTGTTTACATATATGTATATATGTAAACACATCTTTTCATTTAATCCTCACAATAATATTGCAAGATATGTGATACTATAATTTTAAATTTACCATTAAGAGAACTGAGGACTTGAGAAGCTATAAGCAAATGTAAAGTGCTACAATTGCACAGCTAGTATGAAAAAAATCTTAAAGTTCAAATCCATCTGTGACCAAATCAAAAGCTATACATTTAGCCTTTCACCATCAACATTTGTAGATATGCTAGTAATAGTAAAGATGAAATTATGAGGAAAAGATTACAATGGATCTTGCTAATTCAATTGCAACTCTTCTGTAGTTTAAAGGAAGATTATTTCACTCTCTTCTGCTTTTTAAAAAAACCTTTGGTGAAAGCACAACAGATAGTAAATAAGGTTAAATTAAGACTCATTCATTAGAACCATTACTTTTTTTTTTTTGCTAATCATATTTAGGAAATTTCATAAGTATCACTGTACATCTTACTGATGAAGTTTTGAATTTAAACTCCAGTCTCAATTCACTGTTTTAGAAAAAAAAATTCAAATTTACTAGTTATGTGCTCAAAAAGCTCATAGCAGGTATAGTTGCCCCACAGATTTTGCATAAATTTCAGTTCACACTAAAAAATGTGTATGAAACATAGAAGCTTACCTTGCTGCTGAAATGGAAGGCACAGTCAATCCTGACAAGTGGTTCTGAAAGCTGAAATCTAACCATAGATTAATGTATATATTCTCATGGTGAAGTTTTCTAACAGATATTAGTTGAAAGAATTTAAGATCTTTACTACAAGTAAAGATGGAGGAAAACCTCAACATTAGTCAGAAACCTCAGAAACCTGGGTACAAGTTTTAAACCCACCAGTAATACTTACTGTGCTTTTGGAGGGGTCTCATATCTTTGTCTTGCTTCTAAAATAAATAAAATAATTACCACTCCTCCATAACTTATAGAATTGTGCCTGGAAATAGCAAATGAAGAAAGCTGTGTAAAACAAAGGGACAATCATTTTAAAGTCAATCAATAGACTATTCAACTTGAGATATTTTCCCTGGCCATGATTGCAGGCTCACAGCAAACCCTCAGATCAGAAGTCCAAGGGAAGGCACACATGTACTTAGGGTGTGTAAATAACAGCCAAGGGGGCTAAGCATTTTAAAATGATGTAATGTTGAATCATATTGGGATTTCAGGGGCTAACTTATGGGAATCAGAAAGAAGCCATAGAGACATGGAACGGATTGGGGCTGTTACCTATGAGGACTTCTATAACTCTCATCCCAAGGGCTTAGAAAAGAAGCAATTAAGTTGCCTGTAGGAACCTAGGGCTGGATATGATGAGAGTGCACACATGTTTTCATATTATTTGTTTTTATTATTTTTCCTATTTTTAATTAAAATAAAATTATAAACAGCAATGATATCTACAGTTTTTAGTGTATAAATCTTCAAGTTTGGTAAAATGTATATGGTTGTATAACCATTAACAAAATCATCATATAGAAGAGTTCCATCATCCAAACTGAATCTCTGATCTTTTCTTTGTGATCTACCCTTTCTCCCACTCACTGCACCAACCACTTACTGTTTTGTCCATATAAGTTTATCTCTGCAATAATGTCCTATAAATAAAATCCTAGAGTATATATCTCTTCTATCTGGCTTGTTTCACTTAGCATGTTGTATTTGAGATCCACTCATGTCACTAAATATGTTAATTTCCTAGAATAATTGTTAAATAGTATCACAAACTAGGCGGCTTAAACAACACAGATTTTATCTTCTCATATTTCTGGAGGCTACAAACCTGAGATCAAGGTGTTAGCAGGGCTGTTCTGTTGGTTGCTTGTGATTATATAAGAGAAAACTTGTTTCTTGTCTGTTTCTGAGACTTTGGGTAGTTTGTTGGCAGCCTTTGGAATTTCTAGATTTTTGCTGCATGGCTATGATTCTATTTTCATCTTCACAAATTGTTCTCTCTTTGTGACTACTTGAGTTAAAATTTCCCCATTGTTTTTTTTTTAATTAAATTTATTCGGGTTATATTGGTTAATAAGATTATATCAGTGTTAAGTGTACATTTCCATGATATAACACACACACACACACACACACACACACACACACACACATATATACATTATATATATTATATATTGCATTGTGTGGCCATCACCCAAAGTTAAATCATTTTCCGTCACCATGCATTTGATCCTGGTTTCTACCCCACCCCCTTCACTCTGGTAACCACCGTACTGCAACATGTGTCTATGAATTTTTGTTTGTTTGTTTTTCTTGTTTGTTCACTTGTACCTTTCAGTTTTATATTCCACATATGAGTGCTGAGTCTCAGCTCTTCTCTCTTCTCCTCTCACAAGTTAGATCCCACTTGTCCACTTTCAGATGTTTCACTACGTGGATCTCTCAGACATATTTGTGTTTTGAGCATAGAATACTTTTTTGAATTATCCTATTCCAATTTTTGAAACCTCAAGGTGAGAGCCCAAATCTTCTGATGTTACCATCCAAATTTTCCCTTTTTAAGAGGACATGAGTCATATTGGATTAGAAGTTTACCCTACTCCCATTATGACTTAATCTTAGTTAATTAAATCTGCAAAAAGCTTTCCAAAATAAGATCAAATTCTGAAGTAATGTGGGTCAGACTTCAACAAATGAATTTTTTCTTTTATTAGTAAAATTATTGTGGTAATACTGGTTAACAAAATCATACAGGTTTTAGGCGCACAAATCCACAACACAGTATCTGTAAACTGTATTATGTGTTTACCACCCCAAGTCAAATCTCCTTCCATCACCATTTACCCTCATATACCCCCCTTCATCTCCCTTACCCAGTCCCTATGCTAAGTAAAACAAATTTATTTTTAAGGAACATAATTTAACCCATAATATCAATATGTTAGTGGCAAAATATTTTTATTACTGGAGGCCCATGCACTGGAGTGGGGGGGGGGGGGTCCCCTCAGCCTGGCCTGCCACCTCTCACAGTCTGGGAGCCCTCAGGCACTGAAGGTGACCTGGTGATCAGGGGAAGGCTATCCTCCCATTACACCTCTGCTGCTGCTAATGCTGGCAGCGCAAGCCTCAGCCAGCCCTGAACACCTGCCACCCTGGTGTGGCTGAGGGTATGGGTGCCACCATCTTGTGGCTATAGGTACCACCATCTTTGAGGTGGTACCAACATATTCCCTCCTCATTGGCTGTGAGTGCCATAATCTTTGCGATGGCATGAGGGTCAATTAGCATACTCCCTCTTCATTAGATAGGATTGCTGAAAGGTATTCCATTATATATAAATATCACAGATTGTGTCTACACTTCCCACTTATAGGACATTTGCATTGGTTCAAATATCTGGATTCTTTTTTTTAACATTTTTACTTTTTATTTATTTTAGAGAGAAAGGAAGAGAAAGAGGGAGAAACATTGGTATGAGAGAGAAACATCAATCAGTTGCTTCCTGCATGCACCCAGCCAGGGATCCAACTCACAACCTGCCATCTCTTGTTGAGATGACGTTCCAGTCAACTGGACCAGTATCTGGATATTTTTAATAAAGTTATTGAACATCTGTCCAAAGTTATTTTTGTGTGAATATAGGTTTGCTTTTTACTTAGTTAACCTCTATGAGTTAGATTGCTTGGTCAAATGGTAAGTATCTGGTTAATTGAATGGAATTCAATCTTCTATTTGGTTTCCATTACTAAACGTGAGATACTAAAATACCCCACTATTATAGTGTTACTATTTCTCCCTTCAATGTTTAATTCATATATTGGGGATTTTGATGCATATGTATTTATAATTGTTATATCTTCCTGGAGAATTGACATTTTTATCATTATATATCGTTCTTTGTTTCTTCTGATGGTTTTTGAGTTAATGTCTATTTTATCTGCTGCAAGGATGATCACTCTTGCCCTTTCCAATGTGGAGTCAACACACACACACACACACACACACACAACCAGCATGTTCACAGAGCCAATATAATGTCCCTCAACTGAGAATTGGATAAACAATCTGTAATATCCATAAAGAGAATACTACTAAAAAAGATTACACTATAGGCAAAAGTAGCAACATTGATTGATCATAAATGCATTATACTAAGTGAAAGATGCAAGACTCATAGACTACATGTGCATAAGGACATTCTTTTTTTTTTTTTTTTTTTTTTTTTTTAATATATTTTATTGATTTTTCACAGAGAGGAAGAGAGAGGAATAGAGAGTTAGAAACATCGATGAGAGAGAATCATCGATCAGCTGCCTCTTGCACACCTCCTACTGGGGATGCGCCCGCAACCAAGGTACATGCCCTTGACCGGAATCGAACCCGGGACCTTTTAGTCCGCAAGCCGACGCTCTATCCACTGAGCCAAACCAGTCCCGGCTGCATAAGGACATTCTTACAAAAGCAGTTATATACACAAAAAAGTGGTCTCCAAGAGTAGTGGGTAGGAGAAGGAGTTGGCCACAAAGAATCTTGTGTTTTGCATTCATGATGGAAATGTTCTATTATCTTGATTCTGGTAGAAGTTATATAACCATACACATTTGACAAAATTCTTAAAATTATATACCCAGAAAAATGTGTGGATCTTGCAGTTTTTAAATTATGCATTTAGGAAATGAAAAAGACATAACAAGTAGTAGCAAAATATGCATGCAAACTCTGCAGGTAGGATCCCCATAGACTTTTAATTGCATCTTGCCCAAGAAGGTGGGGTAAGGAGCTATGGATGGTCCTCATGGGGCACATTCCCTGAGTGCTCTATAATTCACCCCTGGGTCCCTTGCATTGGCCTCTTAAATATCAACACTCCACACAACATCATTTTAGAGGGACCAGACTGCATGTTGGGCCCTTTGATCTTCACATATTCATCTGAATGTTAATAATTATCATTACACACAGTTTTTCTGTCTAATGAAGAATTGCTACAAACCTGCAACCATGACCAAGAAAATCACCCCAAGGTAACAATTATATATGGAGTGACTTTAAAATGATAATCTTATCATCAGTTGTTTTCTAGACCTTCCCTTATATGCTATTTACAGGCACAATCCTATAAATTATGTGGGAGAAGTAATTTTTATTGTGTTTATATTACAAGTAAGGAGAACGTAAGGGACTCCTCCTAGGGTGCAGTATAAATTCATGGTGGGTTCAGGACTTGGGTCCAGGGTTCCGGGTTCATGTTAGTGTTTTTTCCTCTATCTTTCCCTGTCTTAGAGAACTTGGAACCTTTTGATCACTCCTAAAATATAGCTTTTTAATAACTATTTATACAATATTTCATGATTGAATTTCTGACTTTAACTGACTACTCTGGATTGACTGTCTCTTCTCAAGGAGCAAGGTAAGCTCAATATTTCATATATACTATTAATAAAGCTACATAGACTATAAGCTATTTGAACACAAAATAGATGTTTTGAACTATTTTAAAATAGTGAGTTGAGACTGGAGTATAAATGTCAAAACTTCTATTAGTAAGGAGTCAGGGAATACTTATAAATATCTTGCTGTTTCCCTGAAAAAGATGAATAAAAAATTTGATAAGTGATACTCTGATTGGGTAGGGTGATAAGTTCATCTTGTACTCTATTAATTGGTCTCCTACTGGAGGTTAAAAAAGGGAACTAAATGAATTAACAAGATTGAACTATAATTCAAACTTTCCCCCTTAGTATCGTTTTAATTATTACTGGTACCTGTAAATATGCTGACAGTGAGGCAGCCCAAGCTACACAGAATTTTGGGTTGAAAATGAGTTTCAATCTTTAATCTTGAATCTTCTTCATGTTAGTGATATAATTATACAATATCATATAACTACTAGAGTCCTTTTTAATGGTAAATAAAAGTAATACTACTCCTTGTATACACATTCATATGTAAAGCTCTTAACATTAGATCAAGATCATTTTAAAGTACAAATTATTAATGAAATAATGCACATGGTATTTATACATTTTAATTTCACTTCAATTTTTATCACTTTTTTCCTTTATTTCTCACTGCTACAGGACATCCCATGATTCCCAGATAGCATTGATGGAGAATAGAACAAAAGTGACACACTTCATCCTCCTTGGACTAACCAATGCCCCAGAACTACAGGTCCCCCTCTTTATCATGTTCACTATCATTTATCTCATCAATGTGGTTGGGAACCTGGGAATGATCGCATTGATTCTCTTGGACTCTCGTCTCAACACCCCCATGTACTTTTTCCTCAGTAACCTGTCTCTGGTGGACTTTGCATATTCCTCAGCTGTCACTCCCAAAGTCATGGCTGGGTTACTTATAGGCAACAAGGTCATCTCTTACAATGCATGCGCTGCTCAGATGTTCATTTTTGTAGCCTTTGCCACTGTGGAAAATTACCTCTTAGCATCAATGGCCTATGACCGCTACGCAGCAGTGTGCAAACCCCTACATTACACCACCACCATGACGACAGGTGTGTGTGCACACCTGGCTGTAGGCTCCTACATCTGTGGTTTCCTGAATGCCTCCCTCCATGTTGGGGACATATTCAGCCTTTTCTTTTGTAAGTCTAATATGGTCCATCACTTTTTCTGTGATGTTCCAGCTGTCATGTCTCTCTCTTGCTCAGATACACACAGGAGTGAAGTGTTCCTTGTTTTTATGTCAAGCTTTAATGTCTTTTTTGCTCTTCTGATTATACTGATTTCCTACCTGTTCATATTTATAACCATCTTGAAGATGCACTCCACTCAAGGGCACCAGAAGGCTTTGTCTACCTGTGCTTCTCACCTCACTACAGTTTCCATCTTCTATGGAACTGTCATCTTTATGTATTTACAGCCCAGCTCCAATCATTCCATGGACTCAGACAAGGTGGCCTCTGTGTTCTATTCCATGGTCATTCCAATGTTGAACCCTCTGGTCTACAGCCTGAGGAACAAAGAGGTCAAGAGTGCATTCAAAAAAGTGGTTGAGAAGACAAATTTTTCTATAGGATTGGGATTTTAACCTTGCAGTATGCATAATGACATTATTTAGGTTCTCTCAGACTTTTATTTCCCATCCAATAAACTTAAGCCCAACACTTTATTTAAATTCCTGAGATTATATCCTTTTCTTTTCAACAATTTTTTGCCTAGTAAAAAGAAAACATATTCAGAAGTACAATACCTGAATGAGGATGGCTAAGGGAAAGCATTAGCAACTTTGGGACCTGCTTGTCAAATGTTATTAATGATATTTGATTTAATAACTTGCCCCACTTACATTTTCTCTACCATCTGCTAATGCAAACTTACATGTTAAAAGGGGCAAAAACAAGCTAATGAACAAAGGCATGTGAAAGAAAAGAGCCACATGCTAACCTGACAAGCTCAGGGGAGGCCTGCGTGGCAGTCTTGCAAACCCAGAGACCTAAGATAACCACAAAAGATGGTTTGAAAATTAAATATCTAACAGGTTATAGTAGGTAGTCATGTCCCAGATATTTTCCCAGACAAAGATCAACTTTGGTTTTTTTACTGAGCCCATTTGCCTTTTTGCCTCTAAGATAACATATCTGTGAGATGTCTGGGTAACTTGTAACTTCCCTTTTTCCAGAGCCCCTGAGGAACAACCAAATGTGGTGGGCGCCAGGACAGATGCCTCAAATTCCTTCTTTATCATGTTAATTGTTCCTGCACTCACCTGAGTATACATCCATCATTTTACTTTTTATCCAATCCCAGGAGTTTCCCACCGCTTTGCTTTCTCCCGCCTCCTTACTCCATCACCAATGAATTTCATGTAACTCACCTATGTCCCTCCTTTGATTTCAGTGTATAAATAGAGAAATGTAACCCGCCATTCTTCGGAGCATTATCTCAATCCATTGAGGTTTTGCTTCCTGGCAATTGTCGACAGTTTTGGCTCAAATAAACTCATTAAAAAATTCTTTACAGGTTTCAATGGTTTTTTTTCGTTAACAGGCACATGTATGTGTCCCATGTGGACATTCACACTGGGATGGGAAATTTGTAAGAGATAAGTGCTAGTTTTTAATTAAAATAATTTAAGCAGTTAATTGATATATTAAAATAGAGCTATGTCCTATCATAAATATTTATTTTATTGAATAACTGTTCTAAGATCCTGAATAAAAGGAAAAATTCATGTATTTTTAAGTAAAAGTATGTACTCTGGCACAATTTATTGAGAAATACATAAATATCACATCTTAAATGAACTACCATTTCTGCCTTGACTGAGTCATTTTGTGGAATCATGTTCACATTACAATTGTCAGAAAGATAAAACAATCACCCAAATTTCACAGTTTACCTTAGGGTTCCCTCTTTGTCTTGTACATGCTATGGGTTTTGATAAATGTGTAATGAATTGAATGCATTATTATATTAAACAGAGTATTTTTACTGTTCTATCTAGTCATTCCTAGCTCCCCAAACTCCTGCTATCTACTCATCTTTTTATTGTCTCAATAGTTTTTCCTTTACCAGATGTCATATAGTTGGAATCACATGGTATGTAGCCTTTTCAGATTGATTTCTTTCGTATAGTAATATACATTTAAAGTTCCTCTCTGTCTTTTTATGGCTTGATAGTTCATTTCCTTTTAGTATTGAATAAATTGTACAGTTTATCCATTAATCTAATGAAGAGCATCTTGGTTGCCTCTTGTTTGGGCAATTATAATATGAATAAAGATGCTTTAAACATTCTTGTTCAGGTTTTTGTGTGGAACGTAAGTTTTCAACTCATTTGGGTAAATACCAGGGAGGACAATTGCTGAATTGTATGGCAAGAGTACAAAAGTTCCTGGTGCTACACATCCTAACCAGCATGTGTTCTGGATTTTGGACATTTTAATATGCATATAGTGGAATCCCATTGTTGTTTCAATTTGCATTTCCCTCTGGATGTATGTATGATGTGGACCATCTTTTAAAATGTTTATTTGCCATTTGTTATCTTCTTTTGTGAGGTGTCTGTTAAAGCCTTTACCCAGAAAGACTTGTATGCAAGCATATTAACATATCCAATGGACACAGGCACTGAGTCAGTGGGGGCTTGCCTGGGTGGGAATAGCTGGGGGGAAGAGAGGATCATTTGGGGAAAAAGAAGACAAATGTAAAACTTTGGACAATAAAAATAAGAAAGAATAAAAGAAAAAAGTCTTTGGCCTGTTTTATAATGAAGTTGTTTGGATTTTTTATTAAGTTTGTTGTTTTTTTGTCTGATTTTACTTTTATCATTTTATTTATTAATGTTGAAAATACTGCACATGTCCCCCCTTTTCCTCCATTGACTCCTTCTAACCTGCTCCCCACTTACCTCCAGGCCTTCACCACCCTATTGCCTGTGTCCATGGGTTAAGTTCTTTGCTGGATCTCTTCTCACACACACCTTCCCTTTGAATTTTTAAGAGTTCTTTTTGTATTTGGGATGACTATTTATTATAAGGTATGTCATTTTGCAAGTATTTCTCTAAGTTTGTGTGTTTTTCTACTCTCTTGACATTGTTTTTCACAGAAAATTTGTTATAGTTATGAAATCCAGATTATTGTTGTTGTTTTTTCATGAATCATGCCTTTAGGGTTGTATCTACAAAGTCATCATTATATCTAAGGTCATCTAGGGTTTTTTCCCTCTTATTTACTATCATTTTTTAAATTTTCCATTTATATTTATGATACCATTTGAGTAAATTTTTTTATGAAGGGTATGAGGTTTGTATCTACTTTTTTCTTCTTTCATGTGGATGTCCAGTGGTTCCAGCACCATTTATTAAAAAGAATTTTCTCTATTTTATTGTCTTTGCTCTTTGCCAAAGATCAGTTGGTCACATATTTACAAATTTATTTCTGTTCTATTCCATTGATCTATTTGTGTGTTCTCTCACCAATACCAGACTGTCTTTATTATGTAGCTTTATAGTAAGTCCTGAAGTTTAGTAGTGTCAGTCTAACATTTCATTTTGGGTCTTTATTATGACTTCTATCTCTTTGCTTACATTTTCCATCTGTTCTTGTATGCTGTCTACTTTATCCATTAGAACCCCTAGCATATAAATGGTAGTTATTTAAATTCCTGGTCTGGATAATTCTAATCACAATGATTCCTTTCCCCTCCCTCTACCAGCAGCCCAATGGGATTCTTCTATAGTATCTACTTTGAAAACCTGATTGAGTTCCTGGATGTGAATCTTACAAATTGTAGAAAATCTTTTGTCACTATATCTTTAGTTCTGAGTTGTCCACCCTGAGCCTCCAAAAATTTGTCAATATAGTTTAGGTTCCTATCCTAATGCTGGTTCACTTGCCATTTTCTGTTCATGCCATTTTCTCCTCTGGTAAGCTGTGACTCCCTGTATTCACCTGCCTGTCTCTCTAATGTTGGGGTCGGTGTTTTGCCCTGTCTACTCAACTTTCTTACAAATCCCTGGAAGAACACTTATAAAAAGCATTTCTTCAAATGCTCTTCATGAATTAATGAGATGAGCATGTGTTGTATCTGTCATTCTATTAAAGTGATTTATTAGTGTGACAGCAATATGAAGAATGGGAAGACCCAGCCTTCATCTCCCCACAGATAGACCAACTTAGCAATAATATTTGGACCAAAATTTCTTTATGGGAGATCTGAAATACAGTTAAGAAGTTGCAGTACCTAAGATAAAGTACTGAAAAATAGCTACATTGAAACTGAGGAAAAGAACAATTTTATTTTATCCATGTCAGTTCCTTCTTCCATCAGGTACAGCCTAGCTCTGAGGAGACAGAGAGAGAGGGGTGGGGGTGGATATGGAGTGCTAAATCAAACTTTCCTGACCAAAAATCTGTAAAAGATATGGTTTATTAGGCTGTTACTGAAAAGAAAGGAATACTGGTCTTAGAGCATAGAGTCTGAACCTCCAACAGCATGATTAGGTAGAAAATAAAACATATCCGCCGGAACTGGTTTGGCTCAGTGGATAGAACGTCAGTCTGCGGATTGGAAGGTCCTGGGTTCGATTTCCGTGAAGGGCATGTACATTGGTTGCAGGCACAAACCCAGTGGGGGCTGTGCAGGAGGCAGCTGGTCGATGTTTCTAGCCCTCTCCCTTCCTCTCTGTAAAAAATCAATAAAATATTTTTTTAAAAAAAAAGAAAAGAAAAAGAAAATACAACATATCCCATGTCCTGGAGTCTTACAATTATTTTATACATCAAGAAGGGTTGAGAAAGATATAAGTCATCTGAATGATTTACATTAGCTACATTGGGGAAGGAGAACAAGAGGGGTGCCAGGTTGTGAGAGGGCACAGGTCGGGCTGAGGGGACCCTCTCCCAGTGCCCAAATTGTGTGCACCAGCCATCTAGTTAATTATAAATTGACAAAAATAACAAGAAAAGACAAGTAATAGGAAAACAAGTATGTACAATGAAAATAATCAGCATGTCTACACAGGCAGTTTAATTTCATCTTTCCCAGGAAAGTGGGATGAGCATCTGCAGATGATCTCTCAGTAAAAATTCCCAGAGAGCTCCACATCTCAATAATAATCTCCAAATCCCAGGAAATATGACTCATTGTGACGTCATTTTAGTTTCACCAGATCATATGCTACATCCATCTGGTGATCATTTATTCACCTGAATATGAATACCTGTTAGTATATAGAGGCCTTATTCTAGGATTTGCTATGAGCCTGCAAACACAGTCAGGGAAAACACCCTAAGATAAAAATTACATAGAATGCCTTTCAATGAGAACCTCTGATTGAGAAGTTATACAGGTTTTCCCTTATTTGTCATTTACAGACCAAGTTCTGTAAATTATGAGATAAGGTAATGTTATATTAATTACATTTATTTTACAAGAAGTAGGTAAGTGACTTCTCTAAGGGCATAGAAAGAATGCACAGCATTATCTCTGCTTTAGTGACTTTGGAACCTGATGACCACTACCTGAGACCACTCCTCTAATATTCTGCAGCTGATATTCTAATTGACCTCCCCATTCTCTCCAGG